AGCTCACAGCAACCTCAAATTCCTGGGCTCAAGTGATGCTTTTGCCTCAGCCTCCTGAGTAGCTGAGACTACAGGCACCTGCCACAACGCCTGACTAGTTTTTTCTCTATTTTTAGTAGAAACAGTGTCTCACCCTTGTTCAACCTGGTCTTGGATTCCTAAGCTGAAGACATCTGCTGGTCTTGGCCTCCCAGAATGCTAGGATTACAGGTTTGAGCCACCGTACCCAACCAAAGTTACGTTTCCTAAAAATGAGAAGTTTCTGCGTCCTCATTTCCCACGCATGTGGAGCACCCTAACACGGGAGCAGGGTTCATCATCTAGGAGAACAGAGGAGAGCCCTGTGTTTGCTGGGGGGTTGGTGTTTTTTGTACATTTGGGTCCTTCCTCCTGGCCAGGTCGTCCTGAGTTTGAAATTCCTGAAAGTTGCATGTGTGTGTGGAGGGGAAGGGACCGAGGGCATTGAAGTGTTTCCTCTGTAGATTTTAGATTTCCCATTGGGATTGGGAGAAAAGACAAGGAGAGGAATTCAAGAAGGTTTTATTTTTGAGGTTTTTTTTACTTTATTATTATTATTTTTTGACACAGAATCTCAAGATGTCGCCCTGGGTAGAGTGCTGTGGCATCACAGCTCACAGCAACCTCAAACTCTTGGGCTTAAGCAATATTCTTGCCTCAGCCTCCCAAGTAGCTGGGACTACAGGCGCTGCCACAAAGCTTGGCTACTTTTTGTTGTTGTTGCAGTTGTCATTGTTGTTTTAGCTGGCCTGGGCCGGCTTTGAACCCACCAGCCTGGGTATATGTGGCCAGTGCCCTACCCACTGAGCTACAGGTGCCGCCCTCAAGAAGGTTTTAGAACAATAATTTTCTAAAGCACACTGGGGTGCCATGAGAGGATTTTAGTTGCACTGGGAAAATTTTTAAAGATCATTAATTAAATTATTTTCAAAAGAAGTTCAAAGCACAGTAAGTGTTTTGTTACTCTTTTTTTGAACATCATAATTTAAGTGTGCCATGGATGTTTAACTATAGGTTCAAGTGTGCCATGAGATAAAAAAAGATTGAAAAACACTGTTCTAGAGAATTTAAAAATGGAATCTGGATAGTTTCCAGTTTTCAACAAAGGAATGCAGTTGGCAGAGTCAAACTCTGAATCTGCAAAGGGTAGAGTCCATGGGGTGGGAATGGTGTGGAACCCCAGGGAATAGCAGGAGGTGCCAGGAACAGCCTGGGGAGTGGGGAATAGCGTACTCAGGTGCCAGATCCAGGAAGCAGGAGCCCAGGGACAGCTGTTCCTCCTGTTAACAGATTCTTGAGGTCCCCTGATGTTGGAGAAAGATCAGATGCCATTAGTGTTTATTTTCCAAAAGCCATCCAAAGATAGAGTGACTGACTGTCCGGGCACAGTGGCTCACACCTGTAATCCAACATTTGGGAGGCTGAGGCAGGAGAATTGCTTGAGGTCAGGAGTTTTTTTTTTTTT